CAAACAGATACACATGTGTTATAAACCATGCATATGTAGATACATACTTTTGAAAGCCTATACGAGAGGTATAACTTACTGGTATGCTAGTATCTGAATATATTTGCGCACTGCACAGCTACCACTGAAATGCTATGCGTATTTGCACCCCAACCACATTTATGTGCACACGTGCTAGAAAACTCAACAAACTTGATGTCTAGTTTTACAAACGCGACTTGCGCTCTGACATTGTAGCATTCTCATAACTAAGCGGAGATACTTAGACAGGGCGAAAGCGTGAGTGTGCAGATTGTCCGTCCAAACGCACCTTAGCGATCTTGTCCAGTTGAACACGCAAGATACACAACTGCGAGCTACATAAGCGTTTCATCGATTATTTCAGAATGACATACATTAGGCAAAGGTCACATCATACACTCGCCGTTACTGATCATTACCTAATCCCTTTGGCGATATTCCACCCGACATGATTGTGCTCAATATAGGCTATGCTCGATTACAATCTGAACCTGGCGTCATATAATAAAAAAGACGCGATGTTGCTCTTATATATATAACATACATTTAATTCCACCAAATTGGTAAGGCTGTAGGCTTGGGGAAACTAGTAATAGTCAAAGGCCTAATTTGTGGCCTATATTGCCAAATTTTTGGCGCCATCATGATGCTAAATACACGATACATATCATTTTTTAAAAAGAAATAAATTTATTGTCTTTCATCTCTCTCTCTCTGCATATTTATTTACTAAATACTACTAGTAGAGAGAGAGAGAGAAATATTGCAATATGGCGGCAATGTATTAAAATATATATTTTAAAAATGGTATTGGAGTGCAGTACATAAGTATTTATCCAGACTATGGCGTATGGATATAGAGGGTGTTTATGTTTAGAAGGCTGCGATATAGCAGATAGCCTCCTAAGACGGGTTTTCGCTTTTCAGCCAAAAGCTGTTGAATTTAGGAGGCTATGCTACATATGACAAATTGGCTATAGATATACCTCACCATATACTCATAGTGACTTCTCGTATCTATATATAATCTCATACAGCCCCTATTTTTTTTTGTACTAGTAGCGCCCTTTTAGTAATTGTTTTTGAAAGATTGGTGTCGAAATGAGTACTTTCACTTTCGTTGATATCATGTGTAGTTGCGTTGTCCCTATGTGCCAATTATATGTATCATTAATGTTTGGGGTCGGCTCGAGCCACAGTTTTCCTGGATAAGGTTGTTTTTGTTGTTTTTGTCACCTTTACCATATATCGAATGGTAGCAAATGGTATGAAGTGGTAAGTATGCATTGAGTTTGTCCACTTCGTCGAGCTTATCGATCCTATTCTTCTACTCAAATAATTAAGAGGTTGGAAGTGAGTCAATACACATACAGATTGTTAGTATAATGACCGACACAGATGTTAAGCTGCGAGTTCGCGATCAAGTTGTGTGTGTGTCTAGGCAATGCATTGTGGAAAGTCCTTGGCGGCTGTCGCTAATGTTCGACGTTCCCTGGGAGAAAATGTCTGGACACTACTATGTCAACGCTGATCCAGAAAGGTAATCTTTACCGGTTGTCTTCGTTAGCTTGGTTAGCCGAGATTCTCAAAGGTGCATGTTCAGGAATGAGCGAACTCTTCGCCACCCTAGATCTTGCAGTTTACAATCATTCACTGATTACCCTGTGGAATTGTTCTAAAAGGTCTAAAACACTTCGTCATCCTAGATCCTTGCGGGTCATTCCTTCATTTTTGAGTCTTGCAACTCGCATTTGGAGTCACATTTACCGATCTATTCCTATGCAGCTTCCGAAAAGTGGTCAGCCTGTTGGAAGGGTAAAAAAGACTGGAAGACGTCGTGAGAGCTTCGACACCAGCACAGATGCTACGACTTCGCGAGACGTCTCAGTCTCTCAACTGTGAAGTGCTCGAGAAACGCGTACAGCGCGTCATTCGAGATTATGATAGAGTCATGTATAAGCACTAACAACTTTCTTGACTGCACAGGGTGTGGTGTGTATTAAAGTGTACAACAGTTTTTAATGGTAATAATTTACGATGCTACAAAATGAGATATTTCATTTTACCTGAGGATCAAAAAGGCAATCGGATTTAAAGTTCAATGCTACTGGATTTAATAAACCGTTGTCGAACTCTTCAACTGGTCGCAGAAGTTCTAGATATTGAGATACAACACTTGATCGCTACACAGACGCTTATGCTCTAGTCTTCCTGTTGTATTCTAATTTAAATATTCATAGAAACTTTACTTAACGCCCTTTAAATCCATTCATCCTCATCAGATTCTACAGTCTCCTCCCAAGATTCACCTACAATATCTGCGTCTCTGATAGGCGAACTTGCTTTTGAATCGACAACTTCAAATACACCTGTGTCTGGACCCTCGGGTATATCCAACGGTGCCGTCATTGTCTGCGCGGGTGTTTCATTTGACTCACTCAGTGTGGTAGCCTCGACAGAAGCTGCATCTAATACACCCGGAGTAGGACTAGGTATACCCTGGACGTCGATAGTCGAATCTGCTTCTGCGTCCACAATCCCAAGGGTTTCTTCCGAAGTGCTGTTGGCGTCGTGCGGTGACAGTTCACCACCGTCGCGTTCAACCACTACGGGCTGGGTAGTAAGCAAAGTTTTCGCCACGCGAGACCTTTTGATTTTTGCACGGGCTTGGGTGATATGCAGCAAGTACTCTGGCTTGTTCTTACTACTTGCCTTGTGCGAGAATATACACTCGTCGCCGTGTAAACATCCCTCCGGCAAGAAGAAGTGATCTGCACAGGGTACATCCTGGGTGTTGTGTTCATACCTGCAACTGCCGCCCGCAGTGCAAGTTTTATCCAAGAAATACTTGCACACAGTCACTTGTCTGACCTGCTCGCCCTCGTGTGAGAATTGACATGCTTGCCCCTTCATGCACAGGTTAGCTAGGTAAAATGCACATGTCTGTTTTTTTGCGCGTTCACAGTCGTGTGAAAACGGACAAGCGTCTCCCTTGGAACAATATCCATTGGAATAATATGAACAGATCCGCAGAGGATCTTGCTCGACGTTATGGTGAAAATAACAATCATCACCTTTGTCGCAATTCCTTTTGATATAACTCTTACAAGCATATCTCTTCAATTGTTTCTTCGCCTTTTCTGCCTCATTTCTTTGCCGTTCTTCCCCTTTGCGTTCTTCTTCGATCTCAGCCGCTACAAGTCGCTGACGTTCTCTCTCTGCCAGGCCTTTTACGCCTATATAACGTGTTAAAGTATACAGTGAATGGAAAATAGAAAGGTTAATTTAGGATGCCTAAGAGAAACACCAGTCTTAGATGGGATTGCACTCAACTGAGCGAGAATACAATATCGCTTGTGGGAATATGTAGCGCGTGTATGCCGCCTGTTAGGTGACTATCCGCACTCAGCTAGTCGATGTAAGACAACTTGCAAAACATGTGTAATCATGGTGAGATATTTTAGTTTGACCTGTTCAATGTATAGTAAAAAGCGAGAAAAAAAAGCATTCATAGATGTTGGATATTTATTATCAGTATCTAGACGATTCTCATTCAATTATCAAGATTACGAATGATGCGAATAACATTACATACAGCATATCGCATACAGTATATTGTATTTGAAACAACGCACAGCCGAGAGAAATCTATTACAATCCGTATGCTCCAGAAACAATATACCTCAGCCCTTACGCCGCGACATCAAGCACGAAACTAAATTGCCTACACACATATATACTTAGATAATTATATTTTCTCCACAGGCAATACTTCGATATTTATTATATATTTGTGTGGGATAATGCAAAAATGTATATTGTGGAAATATGAACATGAACACGCATCCATCAAGATGAGGTAGATCGCTACTATCATTCGATCATATATCCCCACTTAATCGTCCAGGCAGTCCCGATATTGAATACGATGATGTATGGGCACAATGCATATGTAGAACCTTGGGTATACGATAGACACACAACCAACGTTGCAAACACATACCATCAAATATAACATAGCCTGCCACAGCTCGTTGACTCTGTACCAGCAATGATAAGCCCGTGATACCGGTATCCACTATACCACTTGGGGGTGCAGGTGGTTGCTTCGTTGCGCTCGGTATATTAGCTGAGCTCTGTTTTTTGTTCTTTGTGAATTTTTGCTTCAGTTGTGCTTTCTGTTCGCCAGCTCGTTTCGGTTGACGCTTCAACGATTCCCGCAACTTGGCAACTTTTCCATTTCGCGATTTAGGTAAGTGTTTCTTACCCTTCTGGATGCCTTTAGCATTCCGAATATCTGTGCTACCACCTTTCCCATTTATAGTAATCTTTTCCTTGGTGATCTCTCCCTGTGCACCTAAGCCATTTGCGATGGCTCTTTGTCCCTCGCTGGCTATAATATCAAATCCGTTGCCCGTAACAGATCCAGTTGCATGCCCACCTTGAATTTGCCCATATACCAACTCTCCTAGCTCTCTATCTTGAACTACACCCACTCTAGCCCCCGAAGTATCTAATGCGCCTGTGCTTTTATTCTTAGAAGTAGTTCTATCGGTCAGATGTCCTCCTCTTCCCCTTCCCCTGCCAAAGCCCTTTCCTGTCCCTCTCGCACTCCCTCTCGTCGGATTCATTCCGCCACCTCCTCCTCTACCCCTTACAGCAGCTTTTTTCGCCAGGGCTGTTCCGGGGACACCTACCTGGGTACTACTCAACAGATCGTCGAAACTCGTTAATTCTAAGGCATTATGTCTTTTGTCGCCGCCGTCCTTACCTTTTCCCTTTTTCTTTCCCTTGAGCGAGACGCTGCCTCGGTTCTGATTTTTCATATTAAGAATCTCTGTGGTACTCTCTGATTCAATGCGCTTCTGAATATCACAGTGTGTCGGTGCAGCCATTGCACCGTTGCTATTATTACGTACACCGCTTTTTGCGGAAATGCGATCATTAGTTCCAGCTGTACCTGACGAACCACATATTCTCTCTCTTTCTGCCTGGCCCCCTATTTGTGACACCAGGCTGGAATTTAAGGTGATGGGTGAACCATGGCTGTGTCGCACAGCTATACGAACTTCGGTATTCTGATCTTTAGGTACATCACTTTTGTCTTGAAAGAAAAGTATATGATTGTGTGTACCGGTACTACCATTCACCCGTAGCCTCTTCCTCCCCCATAGTCCACTGAATCGCACAGTGCCGTGTGAGTCCTCATCGTCAGAGAATATAGGCAGATCGTTGCAGCACAGAGCTCTCCGGTTGCCGGAGGTGCTCGTCAGTTCCATACTTCTTGAATCGTATTTTATAGACTGAACAACTGGGCATAGCCTCCTTAAAAACAAACTGGGTTTGGAGAACTCGGGATATCGGAATTTGTATATAATGCCGCCAAATTCATTAATAATATCGTATAAAATATCAAACGGCCCACTCAACCCCCAGGGCCCAGAGGCCAGATGATCAATATTTGCCACAAATGATGACTGTTTGTATGATAAATACATATTTACAAAAGTGTGCGTTCGTGACAGTAGTACAAGTGTGCCTGGTCAAACACATATGCGCACGTTTGTGCCCCGGGAGCAGCTGACACCACATATTTATGTCGGCCGCATCCAAAATACAATTGTGAACCTCTCTTTTCGAATGATCTGTCACGTAGAAATACACGTCGCAAACAATTTGACACGCTAGA